TTAATAATAAACGACGTTGAGAATGAAAATTTAATAATGTTTGCCAACGTTGAGATTTAAAATTTTTTATATTTTGTGCTTCATCTAATATTAAATATTTCCATTTTTTACGACGAAATGCTTTAGCATCTTGTAAAACAAGTTTATATGATGTTATACAAACATGAAATGCATTTACTTTTGTCCAACCTTGACGTTTTAATTGACGTTCTTTTACAGAACCATAATAAGTTAAAATTTTAAAAGATGGACACCATTTTTTAAATTCTAATTCCCAATTAAGCATAACACTTGTTGGAACAACAATTAAATGTGGACCCCAAACACCTGACAAGAAAAAAGAATTTTATATTTAAGTTAATTTAAGATTGAACTAATTAATTAAATACCTTTTTCACATGCTAAATGAGCAAGTAAGGCAATTGTTTGAATTGTTTTACCTAAAAGAATATAATAAATTAATTTTTTGTAAAAGAGCTATTGAACTACAGATAATATTATGTGCTCCATTGTTTTTTTGAATAATTTTTCATAGGAACATCATAGAAACTTGCAGTTTTTATCACTCAACAGGGAAGATTTGGAGTTATTGAAATTTGACTGGTCAGTAATTGACGAAGTAGGTAAGATTTTTGAAAACGATATTCTAGACCTTTGGAAACGCAAGTAGGTAGAAGTAATTCACTATGCTGAGCCGAATGGTGATATTTTATTTTAGGTTCGAACTGATTTGACACTGTTATCTCAATATTCCTGAACTTCCGCAATCAGCTTCCATGTAATAAAAGAGTTGACACTTCGCAAATATCACGCTGCAACTTAGTATGGTGAACTAATCCTGCTTAGCTGGTTTTTTAAGTGGTCATAGTTTAATTCACTGGAATCGAAGTCAGAAAAAATCGTATCACTCTCGAATCGAAAAAGCTAGACATGTCGGCCTTGTTGTCATCGAAAGCGAAATAGATTTAGAATATCGTTTTCGAAAGTCTCTACCAAAAACGCAACTGATTGGTCAATTGATAACCTCGAGCCTACTCTCTTGAATGATGAAAACCACAGCTGTGTAGCCCTTTTCATTCTTGAGTTATTGCAAAAATATCCATGACTATAAGATTTTTGGACAGACGTTAGTTCTTTGTTGTATTTCTGGAGAATCGAGTAAAAGGATGGTGACGAAATGTGCCCCAAAATAGATAAAATAAAACAATCTTCATTTGCAGCTACATCATGTTTCATATTTTAGTCCAATAGGGATTTGTGCTAACAGCTGTTTTTCTTTTATGGTATAAAAATTTTATCTTTATAATCATTGAAGTTTTTCATAGGAGGCGAATATACAAACGACAGGGATGAAGTTTTGAAAGACTGTAAAAATAGAATAAGAAATACTAAAGATAAATTGAGCTTTCCAAAATAAACTTGCAAATTTTATATCTTGATAGTATATAAAATATTCGAATTATTTATATCGAAAGAAAATCAAAGCGATGAAGACTGATGAAAGAATCTTCTCAGATATTTCTCCTAACAATTTCAACGATTTTTTGCTTTTGAGATGCTATTGAGGGAGAAACAATAGAGACTTTAGTCTTGAAGTGTAATGTTTCTTCCTCGGATACCATATACAGAGATCAGGCGAAGGTTATCAGATTGGGGATGTGTAAGAAAATGTTTCATAAAGGTAGTAACAAATAATTCTCAATTCTTAAGAACTCTCGTGAGTCCTTATCATTATTTTTATTTGATGGTAAAATAAATACCGGATTCATACTCAAATTCAAGATAGCACCACTACTTTAGCAATATTACAGTAAAATTGGGATAAAAAGCTGATGTATCCAATCAAATCGTAACTTATGTTTATAGCTTAATTTTGTTTCTAGTATACACGTCTCTCACTTTTGAAAAAAATTTTTTTTAGTGTAAAAGTTGTCTTCGATCATTGACGCTTTGTTCGCGAAGATTTTTGTCACATCTAAGAACATGATTAAACTGTTAAATTTCAAAGACTTTTTAATTAACTAGAATCTCTATTTTTCTATTGAAGAAAATGTTCAAATTTTCATTTACCTAAACCCATTTCATCGGCTAGTATACAATTAAGTTTATTTTCATATAATGTAACAAGCCAATCTAAACCAACATGTTGATATTCTCTTAGTGAATGTTTAATTAAAAATGGCACCGGTGTTTTAACTTCTGTTGTGTTAAGTGTAAAACCTGTTGGTTGTAGTGATTGTGCTGTTGTTGCTAAATCATTCATTTCTTTATTTTTTGTTAATTCATTTGTTGGTTCTTCTTCTTCTTCTTCTTCGTCTTCGTCTTCGTCTTCGTCTTCTTGCTCTGATGCATCATTTTTTTCATTATCATTTTGTTTGATTTCAATAGGTATATTATTTTCTTTTTCACTCGATGAATTTGATGTATCAATACCATAATAACGTTTTAATAATGTATCAATAGATTCTTCTTGATCAGCTTCTAATTCTTTAATTTCATTAATAGCATAATCATCTTGTTCATCTTGTTCTTCACGTTCAATTGTTTCTTCATTATCATCATCATTCATATTTTCAGTAACATTAAAATCTTCATCATTATCATTTGTTTCTGTTTTTAATGATTTAATAAGCCAATCAGAATATTTTTCTGTTTGATCAACAATAAAATTTAAATGTAAATCTAATTGATGTTTACGTAATTCTTGTACTCGTGTTGTTTCTTTATATTCAGCTATTTTATGCATATTTTTCCAAAAATTCATTACTTCTTTACATACAAATAACGCTTGTTTACGTAAACGTTTTATTTCATCACGTTGTTGTTGACTTTCAGCTTGATTTTTTTCACGAAAATATTTTAATATAGCTAATGAAAGTTTTTTAGCCATCATTTGTTTCCAACGTTTTTCATGTGCAAAATCTTCAGCTAACCAACGCATTTCATCAAGTAAATAATCCCAATGTGTTTTACGTTTTTTTGGTTCAAGAAATTTTACTAAACGTTGATTTGACCATTTACCATTTGTTTTTAATTCATCAATACGTTTTAATATATTACTTTCTTGTTTAACACGATCAACAGATATTTTATTTGGTAATTTTTTTAATGTTAATGATGAATTTATATCTTGTAAATTTTTTTCAACTTTTTCAATAAGATCTTCTTCAGCTTTTATAAAACGTTGTTCATCAATCGATAAATCAGTACGATCACGCATTTGTAAATCAATATATTCACGTACGAGATTACGATGTGATTGAACAATATCATTTAAACATGAAAACATTGTTTGAAGATTTGTTGGAGATGATGAACGAACACGTTTTAACGGCGATTGTTCGATTGATATTTCATTTGAAGATACTATCGACGAACGACGTCGTTTATATGTATTAGATGTTATATCATCATCGATTGTGGCGGTGCTATTCACCGCTGAAGTCATCTAAAAGAAACGATATTTTAGTGTAGAAGTTTGAGCATATGTAGTATGTATATGCTTTTATTTTTACCATTACAGAATGACATCAAGAACCTCTATACAATGTTTCTAATAGGATTGGTTTATCTGAAATGAAAAAGAAATGTATTGATAACTAATGACATCTATGATAATATTGACTATTCTAGTAACAATTGAAATGCTATTAATTGGCGTAGATTACCTACATTTAAAATAGTTTAGTTCTGTTGCATCAAAAAAAAATTAAGCCTAATTAATAGAGATGTCTTGAGGGCGACACTGAGAATCAAGGCGAACGTTAGAGGAAAACTGCAAAGTGTACTTTTTAATGGTTTAAATAGTGCAGCATTTATTCTGACATATGAATTATCTAATAACATAAAAATCTTTGTTCCTCTGATTAGCATTAGGCGGAAAGCAAACTATGTAACGAGTGATGCAAAAGTTCCTGCACAAATGTTGGTCTATTTTCCATTGACTAAAACATGTGTGGATAAGTTCGAAAGCACTTGTACAACATCATAGTCGAAAGCTCTTTCTAAGTGTATGCTCAAAAACGTTTTATCATATCTTGCCTTTCAGTAGAGAGCAGATCTTTAACAGGACTAAAATGTGGCCTATCAAAACAGCTTAGAGTAGTTGGCACGGAAAAAATATATCTTCCAGTATTTTTTTATATTATTCAAAGGGATCGATAGTATGGTGGTGCTCTTTTTTCAGTTAGATACGCTGTTCAATTCGCTACAAACTTAATGGAAAACCATACGGTATTACGTTGGGTGTTGTGATCTACAATTTAGCAAACAACGGTGTAAGAAAAGACGTCAAATCTGAATGTGAAAATGCCCGAAGTACTCACTCTATGAGTATGCCTGACCCAGTGACTAGATATGACAAAGTTGAACAGCAAGTAAAACAATACTAGCATTCAGTAATCTGAAGATGGCTAAAGATTCGAGAGTGAGTTCTCTCAATATTATCTCAAAAAAGAATTCCATAGTATTTTTAATATGATTTGTTGAGAATAAAGACGGTAGTCTGATGCAGAAAAGATAAACACTATTTTATGGAATGAACCAAAAAAAGTCGCAACAACCTGTGGGATCGGTACTTTCTTTGGTATTCGCTTTCTTTTACAAACCACATTCCAGTAATGTGTAAAGATGTGCTCCCTACGGAAAGATACGACATGAAGAAACTTATTCTGAACATATAGTTTGAAAGAGCTTTCGAAATAGATTACGTATAAGTACTTTCGAATTTATTCACATATGCTTTAGTAGATAAAAAATGAACGAACCTTTGTGCAGGAACTTTTGCATCACCCGTTATTCTGAAAGCACGTGGAGTTTTCTATCAGCCTATATATTTATGTTTTGCTTTGCACTTATGCATTATGAAAATAAATCGAGTGCAATGAAGGCGCCCTGATATCCAGATTCCCCAACAATAAAATTTTGTTAGTGTCATGAAAATTAGTTTTTAGATTGTTTATCACTAGAACAGTACTTTTTGAAAAAACTATTTTACCACTTTAANGTGTGCATGTGCACTGTACAGCCATCCATTTATTTTCATGTGAAAATGACCTTTCACGTCCACGATGAAATTGTTCACGAAGATAAGGAATATTCATCTAATAAGAAAAAAAATATTATTTATTTTAAAAAAATAAGAATTTATTTACTTTCATTGCAACAGCAAGTAAAGTACCTTCAGTTGGTTGACCACGAAGTTGTGAATTGATTATTTCAGCATTATTACAAACAGCTTCAACCTATTGAAATTAAAATTTAGTTTCTAACATTCTTTTAGACAAAAATCGAATATTTTGGAAAAACTGATAATAAAATCATGTTTAAAATTCGAACTATTTTGAGAATAGATGTAAAGAAAATTCGCAAGAAACTTACAATAACATAGAGATTAAACATTCTATCATACGGAATAGTTACAAGATGGAACAAAGTGTTTTTTATCAATGATAATATTATCTTGAGTCTGTTGTCAATGAAATATGGAAACAAAGAAAGTTATCAGATGCCACAGATATAAAATTATTTTAGGACAATGTTTGACCTCATATTCATCCAGATGATAATAATTATGTCAGACAAGAAGACATCAATATAATGTCACATTTACCATTTTCAACAGACCTAGTGTGATATAACTTTTGGACTAAATGATTATATCAAGCATAATTTAACTGATCAAATTGGATCGTGCATTTCCATGAGTTGCCTAATTCGAGTTCGAATATAAATTAAAAAAAAAAATTCGATTCTACACGTTCATTTTATAACATCTAAAGATAAATTTGTATCTCAATAATAATTATTATATGGACTACATTATCTCTTTGATAATTGATGTTTGAAAGCTTTTATTCAAGTTTTTGACCTAGAATATGTAACTATGCAGAAATGCTTGTAGTCGCCTAATCAAATTTTTATATCAGCGTCACGGTGTGAAGGCATGTATCACCTCTCAAGAATCACGACGTACACAGTGGAGTGGGTGTCAATAATATCTTCAATCACACCTTCGTCTTAGATCAAAATTTATCTTTAGTTTTAAAATTAAATTAAAATTAAAAATCATATACATACTTCAACTATTTTTGAAATTAATGGATGAGAATCATAAGTTACTCGTTGATGACCACATAGAACATCACCTTGACCATCATAACCTGAACCTGTAACCTAATAAATTATAATACAATTGTATATATTTCTTATTATTTATTTATTATAAATATATATACTTCAGCAATTTCTCCATCTGATGTTAAAATATTTTTAACAGTCATTTCATTTTTTGTTAATGTACCTGTTTTATCTGAACATACAACTGTTACACAACCTATAAATAATCATATATATATATTAAGAAATAGATATAAAAATCAAGTAAAAATAATTCAACCGAGTGTTTCAACAATAGGTAATTTTTTAACAATTGCTTCTCGTTTTGCCATACGTTGAACACCAAGTGCTAATGTTACAGTTACAACAATTGGTAAATCTTCAGGAATAGCTGCTACTGCCAAACTAGAAAAATTTTTATTTTTATACATTATTATATAATTTTAAAAGAAAAAAAATTCAAGTTAGAATTTGTTTATATAAAATACCTGACACCAATAGTAAACATTTCAAGAAGATGTCTACCTTGTAATCATCCAACAATAACAATAAAACCAATAATACTTAATGAATAATATGAAAGTTGTTTTCCTAATGCATCCATACTCTTTTGTAATGGTGTTTTTCGTGCCTAGAAGAACAGTAGGAAAATTTTCGTTTATTGTCTTTTCTTTTTTTTTTACTTCTTGTTGTTGCATCATTTGAAATACTTTTCCAAATTCTGAATTTTCACCTGTACATACCACAATACCCTTTCAAAAAAAAAAAGAAATTAGAATTCAAAAAAAAAATATCATATTCAATTATCTTTACTTTTGCATTTCCATTAAGTACATATGTACCCATAAAAACAATATTTCGTCTATCACTAATCGATGTTCGTCTTGAACCAAATGAAATTGAATCGACCATTTTCATTGATGGTTTTGTTTCACCTGTAAATGATGATTCATCAATAGATATATAATCATCTAGAATAAACATATGATATTTTGAAAATAGGTGTTACAGAAACTAACATGTTTATTCAAAGGTTATAGTCTAACACAAACTCTTAACAATCCATCAGTACATAGATTACACGAATGACGAAGTGAATGGTATCGTGCGACCTGTACATTCTCTTAACGCATATTTGTATAATTTTTCATTGTTTTTCCCAATTCTTTATTTTTTTTCTCTATGTTTTATTTCTACATCATCATCATTCTTATCACTAGTTCTATCTTCATTATCAACATCTTCATCAATTGAATCTCTTACACTTTTTCATTAGAATATTCTTGAAGCAACTCTTTATTTACTTAATTAAATAAATTATATTTTAATACCTTTAAAACATTTATCAACAATAAATTATTCAACATCTTTTAAATCTCCATAAAAACTTGATGAATCAGATGATTATGAACGATAGAAATATTGATAAAAAAAAAAACTTTTTTCATAAACAATTCAATCTGAATATGATCAAAATAAATAATCGAGATATAGAACAACAAAAAAAGAATATACTAATCAGTATTGGTATCATTCTCATAGATGTTAAATTATTGATCGTCTTGCTATTTGTCAAATATATTCTAATTTTTGTCATAAAGATGATCATATATCATATAGAAAATATGGTTGAATTTTTTCTGATTGTACTGCTAAAGAAGATGGTTGATGTCAACCATTAGTTAAACGTCAAATTCCAACAAGAATTGTTCAACCAATATCATCATTAGAAAATAAAAAACTAAAAAATGAGCATCATTGTCAAATAAAAAACCTAAATCAACAAATCGTCAACATCGTTTAATTCGAAAAATGAATTGAAAAGAACAAGATTAGAATTAATCTATAGAAAATAAACATATATCATGTAATACAATTCGTTTATTTAAATAACTTCAACCATTTATTGATTATCAATATCAACTAATATATTATATTGAAAATTAATTTTATTTTATATCTCAATATTTATAAACAAATAATCAATTATTATCTATTGAAAATAATGAAAATAAACAACAACAACAACAACAACAATTATTTACTAGCATATTACATTGACAAGAAAATCCATTTGAACATGTTAAATTATCATATAGAAATGAAGATGGACAACAAATAAAAGAATTAATTAGTAGAAGTTCAATTCGTCGTCAAGATATCTCTATTATTTCATCATTAAATCCTCAACAAACAAAACAACATTTAATTGTTAGTCAAGAAAAAGCTAAACAAGCAATTATAACTATATTACAATTAACATTCATTACTTAAACAAACAACAACAATAATAATTAAAAATGATAATTTCATTAAATAAATAAAATATATTTAATCTACCATTTAGAATATAATCAATGCAATAAAATCAATTAAATAATCATTATTTATCTATAACAGGTTTAAAACGATTGTCATTTATTAAATATTTATAATAATGTACGATTAAGAGAAGCAACTAGAATTCTTCAACCAAATTTATATTCAACTGGACAATTATATTCTTAGAGCACAATCGTTATCAGATTAAAATCAACCAAAAATTACATTATTAACAGATGATTTTATCTAAATTTATGATTTAACTATTGATAAAATTAGTCCTATTTATTTTTTTATTCTTCCAACAGATAATTAATCAATCATTGATTTTTCAAAATAAAATTATTACTCAACGTCAATAAATACGAGAGTCTATGAAAAAGCTGTTAGTACAATCTCGACGAGATTAATATGTGAAACACAATGAAGCTCTTGTTATTAACATAGATGTCCATCGCGGCTGAGAATCAACCGTTGCCGTGATGCGGTCTTAGGAGAAAGAAGACTTCGCGACGCGGTTAACTATATAGAAAGTTGCCGTTATTGCAATGATTTTCAAAAAGTCTTTCGAAAATTGGTGTTATTAGTGTACTCAACTAGAACTGTTAGTATCAATCCATGAGATTGATCTAGTCTCTGAGTGTTATATTTATGAACACCTAATTCCTGTGCAAATTCATGGAGTTTTCCTATGTCTTCTAAACACGAACCTGCCACCATGGACATCTCTGGTTAGTAATTGCCGCGAATATTGTTTTATTCGATCTATCTTGAGACCAATTTTCTTCATCATCTTTTACGTTAATCCTCTAGAACTGCAAGAAGGAACCAGTTGATATATTCTCATGAGATGTTAGTAATATATGATCGATAATCGTGTATCAAAAACGTCTGTCACGGTTTATCATAGTTCGAGCTCATTGGATTCAAGAATTTTTGGACCCGAACCCGGTCGAATCCGAGTCCGAATAAGAGCCGATGGGCTCTAGTGATGATTTCTCGGAATCGTCTGTGAGGAGAAACTTCGATACTCCTATTAGATCGTGTTTCAAAAAATAATCGAAAAATTTATAATAAAAAGAAGAAAAGGTTTCAGTTCTATGAAAAAAAAACGTTTTAGCTCACAAGTGATCTGTACTAATGTTCGATATGGGTGAAATTTTTGTGAGCCGACTCATCAACACTAGACTTCAGTATGAAAAGGTGTCATCCAAATCTGCACTCTCTTCCATTAATTGATAAAAACTCTTACGAGAAAAGCCCCTCTCCAACTGATTAGATCTTAATGAGATATGAATATCCTGAGAATAGCTCAAATCCTTACCTTATTGCTGCATTTTAACGGTATTTTTCAAGTCAATTCCATGGACACACAAGAAAAAACTCATTTTCGAATATTCAACTTGAAACGTTTCCATAGAGAGAGAGTTGAATGATTGATATCATTTCATTGTTCCTATTTTAAGATAGAGCTATGGTACTCTCTCAATTGGTGACTGCGTAGATCATATTCCATCTTCCTTCGAGTGCAATAATAAACCGAATTATCTATATTCAATTAATTTTCAATTCTGAAGTCTGCTTTGGGTGTTATACAAATTACATTTTTTTTTATTCTTCTCTTTAGGTAAAGTACGTAATTCTACATTTTATTATAGAAAACGTTTAAATATTGAATATTGTTATATATAAATAATGGCTTGAAATGGTTATATATATTATCAAGAATTATCTCAATCATTATCAACTCTTAATGATTCATTTTATGTAACAAATACACTCGATATAAAACATGAAAAAACTAGTCAAACAAATAATAATCGTATTTTACTTGGTGGTCATGTATCTCTTTATTTTTCTTCAACATTAAAACTTTTATTTTGGTTATATGTTCATCGAATAAATTTTTATGGTTTTATTGATGAAACAAATATTGAAAAATTCTTAATGATACGTTCAATTGATGTTAAAATGACATCCACAATAATAACAACAACAACAAATGATAATAATAAATCAAGTTGAACATATCATAGATTATGTTCATGGTCAGAAATTGATCATCATCCTGCTTTTATTTATAGAATGACACAAATGACAAATAATCCTGTTCTATTAATAATAACACCATCAAATCTACGTCTTAGTGAAATAAAAATGGAAATAAAAACAACTAAAATTGAAGATATTGTTCCTATTCTATATGAACAACGAACAACATTTATATTATTAGATCAATCAGATAAAACAAATAATTGGTTAAATAAATAATATAAAAACAAAGAAATATTTTCCGTCTGATTGATTTAGATTTAAATGATCAATATTTTTATTATGATTATATTAATTATCAATATATATTATCAGATAATTAAACAGATGATCAACAACAACCATATATAAAACGTCGAAAACAAACAATTACAACAGCAACAACTGGTCCAATAAATGAATCAATAAATAGTTTATTAAATTTCCTCTTGATTTTTTTCAATCATGTCAATTATTAAACTGAATATGAATTTGACGGAGGTGATTTACTTCATGTTTATAATGTTCCACAACTTAAATCTAGTTTATCAACTCCTGAAATGTTCATTGCAAATATTCGTACAGGTGGTTTTACACTTGAAGTTATTAATAAACGATCCAGATAATAAAGTAATGACAGATATACGAATACATATTCGTTTATATTCAATGGATAAATCAGCAGAATATTTTCAATTATTTGGACGTAGAATACAAGTTAAGAATTTATAAGGACCACCTTCCTATCATTTATGTTTAACACGTCAAGAATCAATTCAAGCTGAAAACAAAATTTAATATTTTTATTGCACAAACAACAACAATGCCAACAGCAACAACAAATACAATTAATGCATATTTACATTCATTTAGAGAAACAAATTATGAAAAAGAATTAGCAACATTACCTTTACCTGATAGGTTCGTAATGCGTTTTAGATTAAGATGTGAATTATGTTAAATTTAAGTACTTTTTATCTTTTATTTAAACATAGATATTCACCTTCAGCCCATTAACTGATTGATGAAAACCGAACAAAAATTTTGTATTAACACCTATGACTCTTATTCATACGTCAAAAGAATTTGTTTTGAGACGATAAAATAATTTCTGCATCGCTTTTTTTTTAATTCATTTTCGTTGCTGACGAGGAAATCATCCGAGATGATAACTCCCGTTTGAGATGAAAACCCAGTAAGGATCTATAGGGACTAGATGAAACCTAGAAGGATTTTTTCCCATACGCCGTTCTTTTAGAGTTCTGACTGCTACACTGGATTTTCTACCTTTAGCACGGTATTTATAAAAACATTGAACAAGTGAATTTTGGCCAAAAAGAGTCATCTCTTCTCCACTTATTAAATCCATCAAAAGGACGGAAAATCTAATTTACTTCTGAATTGATATCTCGAGAAGCAATCATTATTTTTTAGCTGAAACTTTTAGGACATTCTAATAACTTCAAGAGCTCTCTATAGACAAAGTTTTAGATCAGAAATCGTTTGTTCGGTTTTTTTTTATAAATACCGTACCAAAGGTAATGTTGCGTAGGTACATTACCTGGGATGCTCAGAGCATCATATGGGATATCAGCAATATTAGCTAAGATGCCACAGGCATAATCTAGAATGGTAGACGCATTGCATACATAATTAGTATCATCCCAGATGATATCTGTAACATCCCATATGATGCCTGGATCATTTCAGGTAACGTATCGTATCCAAGATCGCATACAACTCTCCACCTAGAATTTCAGTCGAAGGAGTCTCACTACTAAAAATCAGAAAAACATGGGCAGCATTTGATTGTAACAGGTAGATACGTAAGTGAGCTCCAAGTTTGCGGTTTACGTACTTGTTTTTTTGACCAACGTTTTTGTGAATCTGGATCTGAACCCAAAAAAAAATTCAAAATTTTGATCAGGATCTGGCCCAGTCCAAGCTTAACGTTTTTTCCACCAATATCTGGCGTCCTTCGTGTACATGAACAAGTCAAGGATCAAGTTTTTATCTGTTTATTCGCTACTCTCAAAAAACAAACTCAACATTGAGTTATATCTTGTTGCTGGATTTCTCATCTGGAGAGCTGCGGACTTAATAAAAAATAAAACATTCGATCCGAACTTGCTGCTCCCTACTGGCGTTTCATCTCAGACGCGAGGTATTACCTTGGATAGTTCTTGCGTTAGTTCCTGATAGAGAATATAGAACTAAATCTTTCCAATCGATAAAAGATATTCTTCGAATTAATTTTGAGTTTTTTTTTCCGTGAAAATCCGTACTAATCGAGTTTAAAATGTGATATTCATAATCAATTCAATAAGGTGAATCTAAATATGTGTGTTAAAATCAAGAACTCGAGAGTTTTATTTATAGAATTTATTTTATATATATTTTTTTTTTGTTCTTTTAGGTTAGTTGTCTATAGTATGGAAATATGAACTGGTTGATTATCTTTACATAATAATCTAGATGAATAAAATCGTTGAAAATAAAATTGTGATATTGTTCAATATAGTTCTCATATGTTTCGTCTGTGATAACCACCACAAATAGAACGATATTGATGTCGTTTATTAAAAGAATTTATTTCTTCAATATAATAAACAGATTTTAATTATTATCAACATATGGATCGTTTACAATTAACATTTTTATCTCAATGTTTTTCATCGATAAATTGTTTAATGATATAGAATAATATGAATATTTATTATTATCATTATTATCAATAAGATGTCCTCGTCGACATAATATAAATCGATATTTAAATATAATAGAAAATGAATGAAAATATGTTATATAAAAATCATCATCAATGGATATATTTATTTCATATTTAATAAATATATTTTGTTTATTTATTAAATCAGCGTCCAACAAATCCATAACTTTAATCAATTTATAATAAAAGAATTTATTTAAAACAAATTGAAAAACGTTCTTCTTATACTTGTTTATATATATATCATTGATTAGCATTAAATCAACCAAAAATATCTATCTATTTAATTATTAATTATTATATATCTTTATTATCATATTTATTTTATAATTAAAAATCCATTAAATCGTTCTATGCAACCAAAAATTCAACATTTTATATCAAAATTATCAAGAGCAAATGATTTAAATCAATAAGATACAACAGATAAACAATTTCATTGATTAACATAATCACCACAAATTTATACAACTGAACAACAAATTTGTCCACGTTGGACAAATACACCATCAAAATAACCAACAACAATAACAAATCCAATTGTTGCCAATGAAAATCCTATGTTACAATATACACTTCCATTAACTATATCAGAAAATCCTGATCAAATTCCATCACAACCATCAGTAACACCATCAACAATAGAAAATAATGTTGAAATAAATCAAATGATGGAATTAATGGTTAATAGAGATAATATTAATCAACAATCAACAAATATACAAAATGATCATTATCATAATTATAGTTTATATCAAGGTGATGGTGATCATCTATCACAATCAAGTTCAACAACAAATGAAGATGGTCAACAAGATCATAATAATGATGATAATAATATAAGATCAACACCATCATAAAATGATTAAAATTCACGAATAAAATAAAATCTAAATGAATAAATTGATTCTAGTATATATAAACAACGTTTATATAATTTAAAAGATTTAATTCTTGAAAAATTCTTAGATAATCTTGATCAATATTTATTAAATAATTGACAATTAAATCGTTTTAATTCAATAGTTTATTTACAATTATTATTATTAATATTAACAATTCAATTTCCATCAAAGTCTTATCATGATAATCAACAATTTGTTCGTTATGTATTAAACATAAAATAGAATTTATCTTATTAAGATTATTTACTCTTTATCTTTCATTTATGCTTAAACTATGTCATAATCAACGTCAACAATATTTACATTTATTATTAACTTGATTACTATTCAACTAATATAATAATTATAAAATTTTGACAATGAGCTATTTGGTATGATATGTAATCGTTATATGAATGCTCGGGAATAGTTTTTGAATAAATTTTAATAGAAACAGGATAGAAAACTGTGATTTTCATCATTGGAAAGAGGAGATTGAAGACGCATAAAATCGTACATTAAAGAGTTTCCTGACCCGGTTCTTTGTACGATCTTCAATTGACCTTTTCAGGAACTAACCCATCTCATGAGTTGTTTACAGTGAATTTTCAATAATCAAGTATACATTCAAACCGCCAACCGAAGATCTACAAACTGTGAAAGACTCAGATGTTTAAATTTAATTATTCGAGGATAATATGTATTCTAGTCGAATCTGTAATACGATTTTCTAGCAACTTTTTTGCTTTTTCTGTTTTTCATTAAAAAAAAAGCATTTTTCTAACGATTAGAAAATGGAATAAAAAGACTTCGGAAATCCCATTAGAAAAATCTATTATAGATGATTCGATATGTCTTCAATCTGCTCTTTTCAAAGGTGAAAACCGTAGTTTTCTATCCTGTTTCTATCAAAATTGATTCAAAAAATATTCACGAGCATTCATACAATGGTTACATATCATACCAAACAGATCACTGTCAAAATTTTATAATTATTATATTAGTTGAATAATGATCAAATAGCATAGAAAAATAGAGCATCATTTTCTCTATTATTGCATAAAAAAAGAAAATTTCCTCAAGTCTTCTATACGAAATTGAGATGCGGGCGCCACTACTTTTGGTATGCCCTAAGTAGAGATAACTTAGACTAATAGTCAATGACTATTGAATTTTTTCTTCTAGTACTATATTTCACTTGCTTACAGCATATGAGATCATCAATCATCATTTATATAAAAAAATTTTATCCTATAATCGCATCTCATAACAAGATCACTTATGTTAGAACAAATCAGTTAGTCTTTCTGCACCTCGGTAATTTAGTATCTTCATAGTTTCAGATGATAAGTGTCAAAAGAGAAAAACTATAGCACGATTGTTCTGAAAGAACACAAATCATTTCTATAATATCATACTATCGCATAGGGACTATATATATACTTGATATTCTAATTATATTCATACAGTAATAATGTACGGGTTTATCCAAATATTTCAAACCCAAATGTATATTCAGTTTTCTAGAAAATAGTGAGAGCTATCTATGTACAAAAAATGGCGTCGGTGGCTTTTGAAATAATAGAGATCGAAGGGATATACCACATGAAATTCTATATATTGAGTAGAGGAATACCATTTTGGTTTCATTAAATCATATTGCCCTAGCATTTCAAATCCCTTTCGTTTGTAATTTTCTAGATTTTAGATGAAATTAAATATTTATTCATTACAAATTTACAACGCTTTCCTAATTTGATATTAGAATTTTAGATAATAGAAGTTAGATAGACTGCTACATAAAACTTATACTTATAATAAATTCTACACTATAGAAATAAACAGTCCTTAAGTAAAATGATTTTACCCAATTTCTTTACAGATCATCATAGATATAACGTCAAAAGTGAGGTCTATTGTATCGTGTTCCTAATTACTAAAATGAAACAGTAGAAGTTTATGCAGACAAATTTAAAAAGTTGGTTTATGTAACACCTTATTCTCTTAATAAAGTAAATATTTCTTGTTCAAGATTTGAATCCAACATAGATTATGTTAATAGCTTTTTGTTTTAGAGTTTTCAGCTTTCGATTTATTTTCAATTCTAAAAGATGTATTTCATATTATATGATACCAAATAACTCGATTTTGAGCTGTTATTCTGAATTTTTTTTCTATAAAATAACTATTTTTTACTATGTTTTTTATCAATCCAGTATTATCATGTGTGATTCTTCTTGGACATACACAGATGCGAATCTTTTCAATCAAATCTAAAATAAATTTTGTTTCTATTTTAATACTTTCATTCTACATAAACTAATTTATTTTACATAACAAAAAAATTGATAATAATCAATATTTATACATGTGGAAAATAGTCTTTTGCATATTTAGGAAGTCGACGACCATTGAGATGTAAAGAATTCAGTTTTGCACAATTGATTCGTGTTATATCTCTTGTAAAATTGTGTGTCACTCTTTTCAATTGTTCATAATAAATGTTAAGATGAACAGCATTATTCGGTAAACATATTTTCGTATCAACTAGAAATTCTTCGATATAATCATCATGAGCATCATAAAGTGTAAGATTAGTAAGATAGGGATAGTTAATGATTGAAAAATCTTGATTGTCATTATGTGATTCTTTGCATAATTTGTTATTTTGTGGTTTGAAATTGTTTAAAGAAAGTGTTTGCATAAATGGAAACGATTGAGCAATTCGAAGAAAAAATTCATGTTCAAAAGGATGGTCATCATATAATGATATTTTACGAACACATGGAAATAAGCCACCTGAAAAATTATTTGTTACAGTATAGTAATATTTTAATTGATCAAGATACAAATAGATATCACATAGACTACATTGTTCTTTTTGAAAATAATCAACATAAGAAATAACTTTATTATCTTTAAAATCTCGGAATGTATGTTGAATATCTTCTTTCGATTGTAGATAAATTTGATTACGAAGAGAAATGCTTGAACAAATATAAAATTCGAATCTCTGTAATCGTGCCATATGATTAATAATATTCTGCTTCAATTCATTTCCATCAACAAATGTGTTTTCGCCCCAAACAATAAGATTCAAACAGAGTTTTTCTAAATTCGACATTCGTTGTAGAAATGGTACAATTAATTTATTATAAACATTTATCGGCATTTCACAAAATAGTGAAAAACATCTTAAATTAGGTAGTTTTTCCTATAAAAACCATATAATGAATTTGTTCGAAAAAAAAATCAAATATTAGCTGAAATAATCTACCTGATTATTGTAAAAGAAAATGCAGTAATAATTTATTATTTATTTATTTATTCATGTCAATTATTTATATAACATGTAGAATTTTCGACCAGTGTCTGTNCACACCCCACCCCCACCCACACCCACACCCACACCCACCCCCACACCCACACGCACACCCACACCCACACCCCACACCCACACCCACCCACACCCACACCCACACCCATATATATATCATTGATTAGCATTAAATCAATCACAAATATCTATCTATTTTATTATTTATTCTTATATATAATTATTATCATATTTATTTTATAAATAAAAATCCATTAAATCGTTCTATGCAACCAAATATGCAACGTTTTATGTCAAAATTATTAAGAGCAAATGATTTAAATCAACAAGATACAACAGATAAACAATTTCATTCATTAACATTATCATCACAAATTTATACAACTGAACAACAACAACAACAATAACAAATCGAATTGTTGCCGATGAAAATCCTATGTTACAAAATGCACTTTGATTAACTATGTCAGAAAATCGTGATCAAATTCCACTACCACCACCATCAGTATCATCATCAACAATAGAAAATTATCTTGAAATAAATCAAATGATGGAATTTATGATTAATACAGATTATATTTATCATCAATCAACAATCAACAAATATAGAAAATGATCATTATCATAATTATAGTTTATGTGAAGGTGATCATGATCATCTATCAGAATCAAGTTCAACAACAAATCAAGCTAGTCAACAAAATAATAATAATAATATAAGATCAACACGATCATAAAATGATTGAAATTGAAGAATAAAATAAAATAAAAATGAATAAATTTATTCTAATATATATAAACAACGTTTATATGATTTAAAACATTTAATTGTTGAATTAAAATTCTTGGATAATCTTTATCAATATTTATTAAATAATAGAGAATTAAATGGTTTTAATTCAATAGCTTATTTACAATTATTATTATTAACATTAAAAATCTTATCATGATAATCAACAATTTATTCATTATATATTAAAAAGTTTATTAAAACAAATGACATTTTTAAACATACATCACAACATGAAATACAATTTATCTTATTAAGATTATTTACTATTTATCTTTCATTTATGCTTTAACTACGTCATAATCAACGTCAACAATATTTACATTTATTATTAACAGAAGATAAACAATTAGATCAATCAAATATTGTTAATTATTGTTTATATCCATTAGAAATTGTTTAGAAATATTTATTAAATCAACAAATGATTTTATCACCAACTGGTAGAACAACATTAACAACTAATTGACAAACATCATCTATATAAATAATGACACTTTTAAAACCAGTTAATCAACAATCATTATCAGATTTATCAACATTTTTTTATAAATAATATACAAAAACATCATGAAAATTATGTTTTTGAAGCATATCCACAATTATTAGCAGAAATTCCTTCTTCTTAATACATATAAGGCGACTACAAATTTTAACCTCAGAAAACATGATGTTTATAGAAAAAGACTTCTTCTCTTTAATGGTATATCTTTTATGGAATTCAATTGTCAACCATTAAGAGAAAGTCATAGGACAGGTGTCCTGCAGATAACCTTTTTCTTCTTCTACACTAGTTCTGCATATGCATGAACAGAATTATCTTCTTCTAGGATGTAGGACCTGAACAATAATATTTGAGTCCTGCAGGCCGAAGGTAGGAGGCTCCTTTGCCGTGTGGAACGCATGGCTGGACGAAGAAAACCATTCTGTGACGTTCTCTGGTATCTTCGTACATCAGTATTTGAATTTCGTGTTTGTTTCTACTAAATGAAGCATAGAGATATGATGACCTACCATCCTAGTGGCAGCGTCAGAACACTAGCATCCCTCTTGTTTTCAGAGGCAGTAAAAGGTGGTTCCTTGAATAGTTGCGTCGTGTAATCAAAAATACACGATGTCAATAGAGTATCAGCACCCTCCACTAGCCTTACCAGTATAAGAGAAAAATAAATGTTCTAGTTCCACGATTAGCTACTATATTGGTGATTTCTATTCTGGGAAAAATGACACACGTATTGGATGCATCATCTTCTACTCCTCCTTCGAAAACAAGAGAGGCGCTACCGCGCTATACTATTCTTATTATTTTTCAAACACTTTTATATTAGTTTGATTTTCATATCTAACTTCAGAAATTCTCAAGTTGTCAGTTTCTTATAATTGGTCTATTAAATAAATATATTCAGTCTCGAAGAGATCGATTTCAACTTAAAAAAGTCAATTTTACTCTGTCACAGTATATTGTGTCAGATGATGCCACACTTTTCTTATTGGTTAAGTCTACTTTATCTAATCGTTTTTTTTGTGGCATCATCTTTAATAAATAATCAAACTTGAAACCTAATCGACAATAGTCAATGTAGTTGGTACAGGGAACTTAAGGGCGCTTACGATAACGCGAAGTCGTGGTGTCTAGAAAAAAAAGTTAAGTAAAAGAGACGCGATTAACCGAGGATTTTCGATCAGGTTGAACGACATGAGTAGTATATGGTTCGTCGACATCTACAACGAGTCTCAACGATTGAGTGCAAGAACTCGGCGTCAGGAGTGGTGTCTCGTCCAGAGCTGCAGTTTGTATTAATGGTAGGGAAAATATCAAGATAATGAATTTATCACTAAGCAGCAGCCCCATATCATAATGCAGGGATATTCTTCCTTCGATATCGAGATGTACACTGACTTTCCTAGGTAGAGAATATCTTATAAGATGGTTTGTGAATAGATTGGAAAAAGAATCAATTTAATATTTTTTGTTTTTATTCTCATAGATGAAAAAAAGTCATTGATTATACATCTGAATGACGTCGATTTTGACTATGATCTGATTGTCAAAAATGTTAATGTGAATATAATGTATTAACTCAAGGTTCATTTCTTAAACGTCAAATTCGTAAATTAGGTGATTTTTATATATTATCAACAAATATAACTGAAATAATAAATATTTATGAAGAATATTTTGTTATTAAAGAATAATGAAGAACGTAAAACAAAATGAAGAGAAATTGGTTATGTTACATAAATGCGTCTTGTTGATAATTTAAAATCATGTCAATATATAAGTAATCAACCTTGTTCAAATTGACAAAAAAGTTTTTAAAAATAGTTCAAAAATATTAGATTTTCTTGTTCAATTAATTCAATATCATCACCATCATCAACAACAACAACAACAACATTAATTCGAATATAAAAAACAAGTAAATATGTTCGTCGAAATGATTTTGATTGAACTGATGATTCTATTGCATTAGAATTTTCTAAAATAATATCAAATAACATTATTAAAAGATTTTATTCGTTTTGTTTTATTAGAAAATAATCAACAATCAATACGTTGGTTAAGACATACATTTTTATATAATTTATATTTGAATTAAAATAAACAATTATAAGATAATATATTTAATTAATGGTCAACAATATAATATTATAGTTTAAAATCATATGAATATATTGATTAATTAGGTTATATTATTATTAAAAATAAACGATGATTAACGTAGAAATGAATTTTAACCTAACATTCAAATTAATGTTAAAAAGATAAAATCATTTATTATTAAATCATCGAAATCCATCAATTTATCGTCGTTTATCAACAATAATTGATATTGAATAAAATAATGTTTATTATTTTTAAAGATAACCATGTTTACTTTCTAATTATCCTCAAATACCATATAAACAAGTTAAATTATAAGCAATTTAACTTTATCGACCTTATAGAACACAATCACATATTTTTTAATTAATTCAAGGATATTCAATAGAAAAATAACATATTAAAATCTCTGAAATAAAACGTTATAAACCTGTAGGTACAAAACGTTTTTATTATAATAATCTTAATGTAGAATGAATAGTTTATTTTAAAAATAATTTTAATTGTAAATGTTTATTAGCTAAAACAATTAAATTAACAAATATAAAACAAAGAGAAGTTAAAATTGATTTAATTATACCAATTATTGATTATTATTTAATAATTAAATATGTTGATTTTTTTTTAAAGACGAACATCTTATTTACCAACAGTTACAGATAGAAGAACATAACAATGTCCAATATGGAATTCATCTATTCCAGCAACACCTGACATTTGTCCTTATTGTCGTGAAAATCTTTCTCAGGTTCGATTAGAAACAAAAAAAAAGAATCTGTTCGCATAATTTCTACAAGATTAAAATCTAATGAAGTTACTGAGAAATAAATTGACTGATATAGATTTCGAGTACAACCAATGTAAATCAGAGACAATAGATAGTTATCTTTAATTCAACTGTTTTATTATAATTCTGCAGTAGATTTCGGCCTATCGGGTTCAAAATTTTCCGATCCGAGTCCGGATCCAACCCGACAGACTCTTGTTTAATGTTGCGAGTATGTCTCTCATGGTCGATGAGAAAAGGGAAATGGTAACAGTGGAGAATATCTTTTATCATCTGTGAGAAGGAAAGGTTCGAAGTTCTGTCTCTATATTTCAATAGTAGATTTAGATCGTCTATCACAATAGGAGAATTGAAGATTGTTATATGTATGAAATGTCTCATCGAATAAGAATCGATCAATGTTTTAATGATATGTCTTTTAGCATTCGTTTATTGAGACTTATTATTTTGTTTCAATAAATTAACATTTTAATTTCTCTATAAATTCAATGTATTTAAATCTAGACTATTCGATAACTAATGCTTATTGATGTTGATAGAAAGAAACTTATTTTCATTTCACTGTTATTTAGTTGATGGATGTCAAGTTTCATACGTCGATCTACATACCTTTGAAAATGGCAGATCTTATTCATATTAATAAAAACAAATAAACCATTTTATAGAGAATTAAAATAAATATCATTAAAATACGAATAATTCTCTTTTTCATAGGACACCCGAGTGATAATATGTAGTTATGGATTTGAGGCTGCGTTCGCCAAACCATAACCAAAAAACTGTCTCAATCAATGATAGACTTAACTAGGCTATATTATATTTGATAGGTTCTAGTCCTTGGATGAATCATTATTAAATACGATGGATTTCAGATATTGGTTTACCTTTGTATCGAAATGGGATCTAATGAAATCGAAAAAAATTCTTAAGATATATATAGAAGGATGTCCCAAGCGGATGACTCCATCCGTATCGTGAAAAATTTTCATTTTTCTTCAGCATTTTTATTGCTCACCAATTCTATAATGAAAATTCATTTATCTTTTCCTTATTTTTGTTTTTATCTCTAGTCTAATAAATGTCGATCAATAAATAATGATGAACTTTATCGATTTTTATGTAATTCATGTGATTATTGCAAATATTGTAAATTTTATTTTATTTTTACTGATAAACAAATTAATTATGTTCAATCTAATCAATCTGATGAAGATCCTACTAAAACAATTCCTAATATAAGTCAATTATTAGAAAAAACCGATAAAATCTATCGTCAATTAGTTAATCAAAAATCTATTCTTGAATATTTATTAATTAAATTAAATTCCGATGATCAAACTTCAACTTTAATACCTTCATTATTAACAAGAACAATAACTTAAACATAAACAAATAATCGAAATGGTATTTATCCTATTGTAGAACAAATATCACCAATATATAATATTGAATATCATTAAACATATGATCAACTTGGTTAATATATACAAATAATAATATGTGCACCTAACACAACTTTATACATATGATAAACGTGAAATTGATTATAAACAAAATAAGATTGTATATTAGTTTGACGTGCATTTTTTAGATGATGAAATTGTTTAAAAGAATCTATAAAAACCAAAATATGATTAATTGATGAATTATTATTAAATAAAAAACGTTATAGAAATGAACAAATACGTCATCATCGACGTTTATTATTTTTTTTATTTAACACCTGATTATATACAATTAACTGATTATATATAACAACAAATATATTAAATAAAATTATAATAATTTTTTAACAAAAATTTATTTTATCATCATTATCATCATCATTAATTAATTATGATTTATTAGTAGTTTTTTTCACTTATACAACGTTTAAATCAAGATGATCAAGATTTATCTTGGGATAATAAATAACCTTCTATATTTACATTATTTATTTATTCATTTTAAATTTCAACACCACAAATATTTGAATTAATAATATAACCTTGTTTTTAAATTTTATTAGATTTATCTAAATTATAACAAATATTTATTTGAATTGATATTGAAAAATTTCTATGAAAACAAATAACATATAAACGATTCGAATAAGAATTATTTTTCTTTAACATTTAATAATAAATCATGGTTAGAAAAATAAATATTTTCTCCACAATCAGCAAGAATACATTATTTAACATCGAAATTAATTCAAACACTTTATATAAATTATTTATTATAGAAATTTAAATCAATTATTTCCATACTATATGTGACGAAAATATTTTAAAATATTCATATGAATATCTACAATTAATTAAAGATTTATTAATAAATAATAATCAATTAAAATTAATATTATTTAATGATCAACAATTTAATATAATAAAACATGTTGACAAATTAATTGAAAATCAAATATTAATTATTAATAAACAAGATGAAAAAAATTTATTAAATTCAAATTTAATATTTGATTATTCAATTAAATCTTTAACCGAATTATTTTATTTATTTATTTTTACAACAAGATGAATTAAAACAAATATATAAATCAAGAAGATTTCTTCCAAGGTTTGTTTTTAACAATAAACAAAAATTCTTAGTTTCACTTATATCTATTGACTTTGGAAATATCCTACTATCGATGCGCACTATTTATGTTAATACTGACAATGAGTCACCAATACAGGACTCATTAAAACATTGATTAGGATTCGATGGAAAATCTAAAAGAGAAAAATAAATAGATTGAAGAGATCGAAAAAGGAAAAATGTCAAAAATGGAATTTTTTTAAATAAGATTTATGATAAGAAGAATTTTATTCGATCATATGAAAAAAGACAATTTTCTCTGCGATCTTGATATCAGAGATGTTCATTGCAGCTGGAAATCTGTCACTGCCTCGACATACTCCTAAAAGAGTCAAGGCTACCACAACCTGCTAAACTCTATAAAAAGTTCCTGCTGATGCTGTCGTGGTGACGGCAGCGCTGCCATAAGCATCTCTGATGGATATAGACCTTTTTGTTTACTAACACAGCTCCACTCATAAATGCACACCCACGCAAAAGTATGGTTAATTGAAATTTCTCTATATTATTATTATTCTATACATGATACAAGATAAAGAATACTGTTGGAAAAGTTCTGATTAGAATGTCTATAATCTATTAGCTCTAATTGATTTTTATACATTGACGAATGAAGGGAGACAACTTCCAGTCTAACGTTGGATTGGGTTAGGAAATTCATTTTTATATATGTTTGCTAGTTGGTTGGATTAGAAAACGATGTCTAAGTGAAGATAAAAGCCGGATTTACACTACTACCTTCAACAAAACCTTTATGTTAACTTTATCTTATTTATTTTATTTGCATTATTGTGAGATAACCTTTTATTTCAATATATATTTTAGAAGTCGAAGAGAAATTCAACTTACTGATCGAAGTATTTGCGAATAGTTAACGGCAAAAAGATCTGCTTATTTCTCAGCGCATTTAATTAATTTCCCATTAAATTTTTCTCATATTCATTTCGTTTGGATTTCCTAAGAATATGAATATACCATATGATGACACCCGTTCCTATACCCATATCTAATATTGAAAATTTACTAAAATGCTCTTTATCTTTGAAGGACAATGTATGAGCAGAAATTGTTTTAGACGTCGACTAGTTCGACCAAGTTCTACATATTGACAAACTATGAACTCTATTGACGTCTGACAGGTCAAGATGTTGACTCGTTGAACCCCTCTATTAAAAATATCTTTCTATTAGTATCAATAGTTATCTCATATTTGACATATTAATCTTAAGCGAGTTGTGCTAACAAGTTTGAAACTTAATTTGAGTTACAAATGTTGAACTATATTAGCGAACTGATTCTAATAATATAGTCAGTTATATCGAAATGAATTCTTATAGAAATGTTAAGAGGAATATGTATCCTAATAGTTTAAAGTATCCATTCCCACAAAAATAAAAAAGAATGAAATTATAATCTCAACTTTTTTTTTATACAAATCGTTTTTTTTCTCTTTTGTGTTTAACTTGAAATCGATCAATAATTAACATCATATTATGAAAATTATTTTTATTTTATTTTTTTACCTCTTTTCAGGACGAATGATGGGTAATCGATATAGTTAAGCAGATCCAGTTATGGGTCGATTAATGCGTAATATTAAAAATAAAATATTTACTGATTGTGAATTAATTGCATTAGTTGAAGATGATAATAGAATGGAATTACTTCTGGCAAATAAAATAATTTATTTAGGTTTAGCTGTTGGTCATGTTTATAAAAAATGTTTGGTTATCATGTAGAAATTCTCATAAAAGAACACCATCAAATGATGATTCAAGAGCAAGTGCTCAACCAGTTGTTAATCCATGACGATTAGGTAATGCAAGAGAATATATAATTGAAAAATTTGATAGAAAGAAAAATATAAATGAAAATGGTGAAGATGATCCTGAATATATATATATCGTTTAGGTAATGTTCTTAGTAAAGATTCACGTTTATAAACTATGGTTAAACGTTTAGATCGAATTGATGATATGTAATAAGGAAAAGCATTATTATAAATTTTATTAAAATTATTTTAATATCCTATTAAAGTTAAAGTTAATCGATAGGATTTAATTGATCGAAATAAACGTTGAATATCATCTATGTTAAATAAACTTTATTTATTATTAAAAAGTGAAACTGAAGAACAATGACGTGATCAGCGACTTTTATTATTAAGAGAAAAATTTCTTTTTATTATCGATCAATTATTTAATGAAGGAAGTCGAACATTATCACAAGATAAATATAATCAATTTTCTCAATCATGTCCAGGTTAGTTATTATTTATTGATCTTATCAAGATTTTTAGAATATTAATTTCTATTGAAAAAAAGTTGTCATGTGTTTTGTAATAATACTAGAAAAGATTTAACAGTTTGCGTACTATCAAAAAAGAACTAACCTGCAGTTCGAAAGTTATTGACTCATTTTTCAGTTACTTACCTACTCTTGATTAGAAATAAAACTTTTTCACTGTTTCTAAATATCTATTCAGAATTTCTTTCTGAGGAAATTTTGAGAGATGAGAAGATAATTATCCGAGTCGTTCCTTGAACTATAGATCTTAAGCATATGTCAAAATCAAAAATAACATTGCAATGAAACACTATGTTCATGGATGTTTTACGAAGATGATGGATTTTAAAATAAGTTTGCTTTATATAGCATAAAATAAAGAGACATCTGACGCAAGTCGATAGTTGTTGCCCTTATCGAGTTATTCAAATTGCAGACATTCTTTAAATTCTTCCGTGAACATGTCTGGTGGAAATGCAGAATTGACGGAAAACATCGAAAGAATAAATAAATGTCTGCAGTATAAATTTGGTATGACTATTGGTTTCGATCTTTCCTACTTACACTTCTCAATTATCAAATTAGTATCAGTCAACAAACAAAACAAGTTTTCAAGGACAATTTGAAATATTAAATATTAGGTTTTAAAAATTATGAAATAAATCGAAAATGGTCACTGCTCGGACTAACTCTTTTGAAGTGAGGATAAAAAAATAGGATAATTATTTGTTTAGAATTAAAATAATACTCGTTTTCTTCGTCTATATTTATGATAAATTATTTATATAATCAGAATTAAAGATAAACGAAAGAATAGTCATCATTTCGAATATAGAAATTCTTTCACAATTGTAAATTTCCTTTTTCTTTTTTTTTCTTATTATCTGATATTGAACAATTACGTTGATTAGTTAATTATACAAAAATAACCATTTGTTAAAACTGATCCAAGTTTAATGAAAACTCTTATTCATTAATTACCATATTTTGAATTTGGAAATAAAGAAAAAATGCGAAGATTACTTTATTATTTTAAATCATATTTGGAATTTTATCAATTTGATCTTGAACAAACATTATCAACAACAATAACATCAAATAATAATCATAGTCAATTAGATTTAGATTGTTTTTGTGAAATATGTTAACATTTAGATAAAAAAATCTCTTTATGGTTAAGAATTTCGTGATCTTATTAATGAACTTAATGGTATTATTGATCAATCTATAAATAACATTGAAGCCAATACACCACAAGTTAAAACATATTTAGTTACGTTTATCAACTGGTTTATCATATCGACATGAACAAATTCAAATGAAACATTGGACAATGTTTTATTACAATTTTACATTAAATTCAACAATTAACAACAACTGGTAAACGTTGCTGCTTTAGCTGAAGATCTTTTACATTGATTCACTGAAAATGAACAAGTTCCAAAAAAAAATTTATGATCTTAGAAATGAAACACGTACAGAAATAAAAACGTTTAGCACAAGAAGCACCTGATAGAAAAATACCTGAATTAAATTTAACAAAAATAACACAAAATAAAAGTCTATCAGAATTATTATCAACAGCATAAAAAACACCTCTATCACATGGTGATTTAACTGATGGAACTGGTCAGATTTGTTGGATTTCTCGTGAAGGTTAGAAATATTTTCCAAATAAAGTTTTAGTTATTTATAGATTTACAAAAAAAAGTTCATATTGAACCATATGAGGCTAAAAGATGAAAAACATTTAGTTATGCAACTGTAGCATATTTTAATATAATAGATATTGAACGTCACAGATCAGCTATTAAACAAGCACGATCAAGAGATGCATGGAAATCAGCTTTATTAAAAAATCCAAATACACAATGTAATGGTTTATTACCATTATGGGAGACCTGATCTTGCTCAAGCACAATTTACAACAGCACTTGCAACGTTTGATTTTAAGAATTAATTTTTGTTTTTTCCTATGTTATTAAAATTGTTTACTAACGAGGCAGCATCTCAAACATAAACTAAAACCAAATAGATCTTAATCAGTCTAGAAAAACTCTCAAATGTAGTTTAGGTCTACTAATTTTTCAGTAAAGAAATAGGAGATTTTTACGAGTCTATCCGATTTATCGTATTAGTTGGGAGTGTTTAAAAATGTTCAAACTCCCCTGATCTGTGTAGATTTACGGTCGAACATAAGAATAAGGTTAACTGTGTGCATAGATATAAGTATGGATCGCGGGTAAGGACGCATGGGACCAAAGTTTTTGTGCTCCCGCACATCTCTATATGGGATTGATTCAGACGTAGAATAAAGACATGCTCTAATGATGGAACTCCACCAAATGATTAAAAACTTTTGAAGTGATATTTTGTCCATAACTAGAAAAAGCCTAAAAGGATAAGTTCCTATAGGTCTTTCTTCCGGAGTTATGACCGGTTTACTGGGTTTTTGGTCCATGGCAAGGTATTTAGAAAAAAATCGCATGACGAAATTTTGTCTATATGTAGATCTGATGGTCGTTAGTATGCGGTAAAAGTTTCAATTAGAACGGATCTTTCTTTCTCGAGATAATCAATATATAAGAAAAATTGTTTTTTTCTGTGAAATGTGTATACTTATTTCCAATTGATTTTCTCGATAAAGTAAGATCCATTTTCGTTGAAACTTTTATTGCTTACTAACGATCATGGAGCCTACATATAGGCAAAATTTCAGATCAAAAGTTCGTCATTCGATTTTTGCTAATAGGTCCTTCTATCTAGATGAAAATGAGAAATGTTTGTTTTTACTTGTAGTCATAGACTAGAATTCGAAACCTATTTATACTCAACGATTATATGAAAACTTGTGATGATTTCGATATGATACGAATATAATTGAAGGAAGAGGTATTCGTCAAACATCAGCAACATTATCAGTTGATGATATAAAACTTTTATTACTTGGTTTTGCTGATGTAGAATAATTTAGTGAAGATAAAGGTGGTGATGGACGAGAATCAAATATACGTTTGACTCGATATGAAATCCATACAATTGTTTATGTTCTTAGAAGATATCAATAAAAAATTCGATTGTTTTCGATTGATTTTTTTTCTTCTCTTATTTTCATTTGTAGAAGTCGACAAATTGAAGATGAAGAAAAATAATCTTAGTCATCCTGATTTATTAATAAATGAAGCATTTGAAGTCGATGGTCCTTTCTTTCTAACAACATTTAAATTAATTATAATCAAACCAAATGATTGGGAAAAAAATCTTCGTATTTTTATTGAAAAACTTCTTATTAGAGATATTCGATCAGTCAATATATGAAATGATCGAATAAAGTAATAAAAAATTAATTTTAGAATGAAAACAAAATGTTAAATATAATTATTTGTCTTTTCTAGAATTGCTTCAAAATCATTAAAATCATTTTCAACTTATAAAACAACTCTTCTCTTTTTTTTGATCTTGTCAATGCATTTTTTTTTCATATGTTAAATACGGTAAAATAAAGAATAAATGATAATAAAATTTTTTTTCATTGAAAAATTTGAAGGATTATTTAATGCATTAGATTTAAGTCAATTATCAGAACAATGGATAGAATATCCTATTAATAGATTGCCATAAAAAGAAAGAATAAATAAAACTCTTACGTCCAGTCTTTAGTCATTCTAGAACTTAATTAAATTTACGTTTCTTTCCGTCTTCAATATTTTAAGTTTATTCTTCTTTTGTTTGTTTGTTTTTCAAGCTAAAAATAAAAAAAACATTAAAAAAACAAACAAACAAGCGATTACTCGTTTTCTACATTGTTCTCTTATGTGGAACATATAAGCGTATATTCAACTAAAAAGAGATAAACCTATTAGTGCATCAGACATTTTTTCACCATTGTTATCAACAATGCCTCTCACGGTTTGAAATGTGCGGAACCACGGGAAAGAAAAGTTGCCAAGATCGGCATCGAAGCTAGAAGAAAAAAAAAGTTGTCCAAATCGGAAGTGAAGATAATAGCTAAATATTCTGTCGTTTGAATCAAATTATGTTATAAATGATAAAAATATTAGTCATCGACCAGATAAATAAAAAAACAACTATTGAACAGTTTTTTTAGATGTGACACGAATAAATGTTTGAATAGATTTCTATAGAGTGGAACCAAAGTTTTTGATTGGACACATCTCTAGTCAGAGTCTGTGACGTTCCCATAGTTATGTTTATTACAATCTGTAGGAGAGGAGGAGTTAGGTGCAAATTTGTAACCCCTATACTTCTTCAATGTTGGATAAATTCATTTTGAATCTAGATGATAGACTTAATTCAAGATTATCGACCTAAAAAATATCCCTCTTTTACTTTATCGAAAACATCGACATTAACCAATATTTTCTTATAGGCAACAAAAAAATGATCATGTTCGTCTGACTTTGATGGTATTCAATATTCAATTTTCAACAAGTTCATATGATAACGAGTAGTACGATTTTCTATTAAATCGAATATATGTTGTTCGAAGAGAAAAATCTAGCTCGAGATGAGATATTGAAATATATCTGTTAAAAGTGACTAGGCTTGATTAATTTTGGTTGGGTTCGTTCTAATGTTCCAAGCTAACTTTCGAAATAATAATATCGAGTTTATTAAAATTTTCGACAATTTGATGAAATAGTTCATTTATTGATAGATCTGACTGAACCAGAAGAAGACGAACATCAAATCAATGAGANGATTTCGGGCCGAAAATTTTATGATAGTCTTCTCTCTCCAGCCCCAACATATTGTGAAAGTTTCATGCAATTTGGATGTTCCTGGGCTGAGATAGATGTTTGAGGGAGAGGCCTTAAAAAAAAGAAAATTGTGCTTTAAAAATAGGTATATTAAAAGCGGGTGTGGGTGTGAATAATGCTTGGATTGAGACCCATACCCAATACCCTTGTGATATTTGTTTTGCGATACGTATTACAAAGTGCTTGAGTTACTTTTATCCACATTGAAGTTAATCCGCTGTTTTTTCGACGCAAGACGATAAAACTAAGTAACTATATTATGACATTGCAAAAAAACCATCTGTACTTCAATTGTTATCAGGCACATGTCATTCATCTTTTATTGCATACTCGACAGTTTTTGAAAACGATTTGGAGAAGAAGTTGAAGATTAATTCACAGTGTAGTAAAAGCACATTCAATGTCATCTCTTTTCGTTCATCTACTTTGATTTCGCTTGACTTCTTCTATTGAAAACAATCATACCGAGACAAACTTTCAGTCTTAAAAATAATTCTTGACTATTCGTAAAAAAATAAAAACTTGAAACTCAAAGATAAAATAAAAGGCAATGATATCATCTGTCAATCATTGAATCGATGTTTACAGTGACAAAAATACCATTTAGAAAGGCTAGATCATATGAGGAAAATGTTTGTTTCTAATTAGATATTCAGCCTTGAATCATTAATCAAATGTGAAAATGTGATAGAATGAACAAAATCATTAGAATTGAGATCATTGAGCTGTTCAATAAAGTGCAAGGTGCGATTGGAGACGACATTGATTTGTAAACAAGAATTTGTCTTGAGCCACAAGTTGGAAAGTCTTTGGGTGGAGGTTGAATTAAATTTCGGTAAGAACCATTGTGGCCAACCGAGAAAACGAGTGCCATACCAGGCGAAATATGCCAATCCATATGACAATGAAGAAACCAAGGACCGGCGTTGTCAGCCGTAAAACGAAAGACGACATAACTATCTCGAGGTATGTTGAAGGAATCGCCCACAGTTAAAACAGACGGCGTCGAGTTCAGTGGTGCTAATATGGAATCGAAATCAATATCCATTGATCTAGGTATCGATCGATTACAGGCGGGAAGTTCCTTATTAGAAAGTTTGCCGGCCGCGATAAAATCCATCGTATAACCGTGCAGATGCCACGGATGTTGTTGTGGATCGTTATTGATCATTACTACTTCGTAAGTTTGACCGTACTCTAAATGTTCAATGTAAGTGGCATGAATATTATTCACACGACCCGGATATTCTGCGGCTAAAATGTGTTTATCGATTCCATCAAGAAAAATACCTTGAAGAAGAGGTTCTTTCGGTGGTTCAAATGTGATATTGTTGATAGCCCACTCTTCTAGAGCGTCAATACCGATTCGATTATTCCAATGAACAGCAAAAGTGAGAGTCACTCGTCGAATGGCAGCTTTGGTCCGACGTGGCGATAATGGTTTTAGATATTTGTATTCAAAGAACGGATCTTCAGCATCGATTTTCATCTCTTCATTGATGTTCATCATGTGAATATTGGCTTTCGATTGAGGATAAATGAGTCGTGCGGTTGTCCACATAGTAGGTGTTGGTCCAGTGATTATTTCTGGTGGCTGAAAACTATTTCGACTGGCTGCAATAATTTCATAAGCAGACGTTGGTTCTTGATTACAGTTGATGATCAAATCTAATCGTTGTCCAATGGGAATGTGTAAATGGGAAACAGTGACAGGTTCGATTTCGACTCCATCTCGAGCGACAATGGTAAGATCATGTTGAATAATCCAGAATCGAAATGGAATGCCACTTGCAGCGTTAATTAATCGTAAGCGCATTTGTTTTCCAGGCGAACATTGGAATTCGTCGATAGAATGCACATTTGGAATGCAAGGACCGAAGAAAGAATCACGAAGAGGAATACATTGAGCTGGAAAAACATTGCCACATATATCTTTCCAAGTGTCATTCCTTGAGCACTGATAGGTGCGACAATCAAATCGGCCATGTCCATTGATAAGAAATGTAGTCGGTGGCCACGGATATATCGCTTTGCTACCAGGATAGGCACCGTGAGGACCTTGATACGCAGTCATGATATCCGGCCACGTCTCGTGGTACCATTCTTGAAGCATAATGATTTGAT